CAGGAACACGGCCGACATCGTGGGAGGGGCGTGGACGAGACCCAGCGTGGTCGGCAATGTCCAGCAGCTAGAAGTCAAGCGACGACATCAGAAATCAAATAGGGTGTCTCGGAAAAATGAAAAAGGTTATTGGCTACTTTACACGAGAAAGATGTTGATAAAAAACGAAGCATAGTGGGTAACTGAGCAGCCAGGATCGATACGGAGTTTTGAGGAGGGATACTTACCTATACGCCGTTTTAAGTACCTATATGTAATACGGCATTATTGTGGTGCATGCATTGCAAGTTTCTAACTCACATACATTGCTCAAATACGCGTATCTTGTAGTGGACGTGCAATAACTATATGACCATTACCTATGTAGTTTAATCCTCGCCTGTATTGGTGTTTTTCCAGCCGCGAACGTATGTCCATTGGACCCCCCTTGCCGGTTGGCCCATGATCGAGCTATAGCTTCGCGGAAAAAAAACGATCGTGTTGCCCGTGACGAGAGGAAGCCGATGATACCCAATTCCAAGGTCCTAGGTAATTGGTTGACCTTCCAGGTCAGGCCAATGACCCAAAAGTCGGGAAAATCGGGACCTGTGAGAACGTCGTAAAGCGTGGCTGCTATGGAGTTTTCGGGGTGCTGATCACGAATATCATGTTAGTGTTGAGCACAGATGATGTCTTCATGCATTTAGGCCAGGTCGGGTCAGGAAACTACTTCGTATATGTTCATATGGTTGCTAAATTCGAATTCAGCTCCAAAAACTAGCCTAAAAACATGTAAAACTCGAATAAGTGAACCGAGGCCATCAAAGGTCAAGGACCTGACCTGACCTTCAGGTGACCTTGACACCCACCCTAATATGTATGGGAGCAACATCATATTCCATGTTTGAACGCCTGAAACGACGAAAAGACTGGAAACGCGCGGCTAATACGAGCCGACATACGCCGAATCGCGATTCCGGCCAAACATGGTCTCGAAAAGTAGGTCACAGGTCAAAGGTCATTCGGGTCATGGTCATGAAATTTTCAGAGTAGGTGTAAAATTGATCAACGCGAGGGTACTTGCTGAGCGTTTCGTCGGGATCAGACGCTTTTTAGCGAGCTATTCGCGAAAAACCGAGGGGGTACGTTCGACCTCCCCCCCCCACCCCCCATACGGGCGATGGTTAAAGGCAGGTATGTAAAAGCAAAGCATTTGAAATTGCAATAGATGCAAAATTTCACGCTCCTAAAGACATCTAACCAGCTAATGATAATAAAATGTATCGCGCTAAGTATATAGTTAAGTAAGATTGGATTAAAAAATAATTTACAATGCTAGACTAATTCAAAATGACTTCAGCAGGCAGAAGCTTCAGAGCTAATAAATACAATGCACACTGAATAATGCACTTTTTCTTTCTCGGGAAAATAGTACGACTGAAAACACATTTTAATGTGGACATAAAAGGAGATAAGTAACCGGGACGGACTGAGACTCCTTTGACTGACAGCGAGCGGGAGCCGAGGAAGAAAAGTGGATACAGAGAGAGAGAGAGAGAGAGAGAGAGAGAGAGAGAGAGAGAGAGAGAGAGAGAGAGAGAGAGGAGAGAGAGGGAGAGGAGAGAGGGAGAAAGGGAGAGAGAGAGAGGAAGAGGAAGAGAGAGGGGAGGGAGAGCTGAGAGATAGAAAGACATACCTACAGAGAGAGACAGGAGAGAGAGAGAGAGAGAGAGAGAGAGAGAGAGAGAGAGAGAGAGAGAGAGAGAGAGAGAGAGAGAGAGAGTAAGAGAATAGAGACAGAGAAAAGAGAGAAAGAGAGGGGAGAAAGGAAGGTGGGTAGGACATTTTCATAAAGCTTGCGCGAGGATATTTAAACGAGTTTAGCCTAGACCGAGCGGAGAAAGTCAGACAGGAGTGACAGGGTAAAGGCTCAGATGAAAGACAGGGTGGTTTACAGGCACAGGCGATACCCTGGTGAGTTCCGATGGGCTGAGGTCAGTTCAGACGGGCCGGGAGTCGCAGTGCCCAGTGCTGCTGGTTCATTACAGCCGGTTCGCGCTGGTCCGAGGCCGATTGTGCGGCCCTTTGTGGTCGGCCGGCGGTGTAGCCCCAATGACCGGCGCGCCGCCACAGCGCACTGATGAATGGCACCCCAGTCTGTGCGGCGCTTTGTCCGCGCTGGCACCAGCAAAAATGACCGCCGACGACATCAAAAGGAGCTTAGCGTAATGTGCCGTCACGTATTCCACGGGCGACATCGGCAGCACAGGCCGAGCACCGCGCCGTGCCGCAGCAAAAACCGACTCAACGAGTCATTTGTCATATATGTACTACTGCTCTGGTTCTCCATAGTTGAGGAAGTCAACAGCGTGACGTTGGTGTGCGTTATTGCTGTGTTACAAGATAAATTTCGACTTATTTAGGGATAATATTATACGAGTGATACAGGTGTGACTATTGGACCATTGGTGTAGTGTTTTTTAAACGCATTTTCTCTATTTCTGTATTCGTTCTAAAAATGCCGGGTAGCAAGAAAAGGACAATATCAGAACCTTATTTCAAGGTTGCTAAGAGGACAGAGGTATAAACTAAGCACTCAGTATTGTCACTTCTATACAGGATAAATGTCAATAAAGACGTGTGAAATCTTTTAAGCTTATATTTTCAACTTCTTTTACATCGGTCCAAGCATTTACAATCGGTAATAGCCAAGTGATCCTACAACTATGGTCATAACTTACTACACCCCTTATAACTAGGTATATGCCTATCTACGACTGAGTAGTCATACGCAAAAGGCAAAAGCAAAAAAAAAAGAGCGAAAGCAAGTGACAGCAGGAAAAAACGTTAGCATAGACGGAAAACCGGCTGTTTCGTGTCAGAAGCCATGACGGAGACTGTCCTTGTTGGGTTTGAGAGCCCTCGATTATTATATAGGTACTTGTGTCATATTTGTATGGTTTGTCAATAAATGTTAAAAAAGACAGCAGGAAAAAAGAATATTCGAAGTTCTAGAAGCTTATATTCACAGGATTTTCTTCACTTTTTTAAATAAGCTATGACCAGGCCGGGCGGGAGTTATGCCCGATAATATGAAACTCGGATCTGAGCCACGACTGCCGCCTCCCCGCTGGACGAGCTGTGGCTTAGCGGGGAGATCCGGAAACGGGCGGACGAGGGCCGAGGGAAGACCGTTTGTGTGGCTGGGCAGCGCAGTGGGCGGTCGGTCATCTCTCACAGTCTTCATCAGATTCCAGCAGAGAGCGGTCCCTCTGCCCGTGGATGCAGAAAGACCCCTCCACCAATGGGAAGAAAACGGCCTCAATGCCGATAGACATTGAGCGTCGCTCATGGAGCGATTTCTCCGTAAATGGAAAGGGAACGACTCCTATGCAGACGGGAGAGAGCCAGTCCCTCCAGCCACGTGAATACGGCGGCCCCTCTGTAAACGGGAAGATTATGTCGCTTTGCCGAGGGTGAAAAACGACAAGTGAGCTTTTGCGAATTGAAGGGAGTGATCCTAGTTCAGAAGGCTATTTAACCCTATTAGTGGCAGGCTCCTGGCTACCCCATATTAGTGGCAGGGGGGGGGCTGTTTACGACCCCCCCCCCTTGATATCTCGAGATCTAACCGGCCGATTTTCAAAATTCAAACGGCATTCGATTTGGCTCAACGAGATCTACATTTCTAAAAAAATAAAATTAAAAATGTCAATAGGAGGGTAGAGGGGGGTAAAAACGGGCAAATTGCAGATACATTTTAGACTGTTTATCACGGCCAGGTTTCTGAACCAATCTTAACGCAACTTTTGCCGATCGATAGAGAATGAACCAGGAATTCACATGGATCCTAAAAATATGCATTTTCAAAAATCATAGGCGGATACAGATCATTGAGATTGGGGGTACACAAAAAGTATAGTAAATAAGGCTTTTGTTGGTACTGTTTCTAAAAAGGGTGGCAATGGTCTTGTTATGTTACAATTTTCTGATGAGAGAGCGACTAAAATTGTATTGGTCATGCATAGGCGGTGTCAGGGCACCTATGTTGGGAGGTAAAAAATAACCCCCCTTTTTGGACGCCTGGATCCGACTATTATAGCAAAAACGTGTCAAAAGAGGATGCACAATAACTTTGTATATGTTATCACATGATACCTTTCATTCACTGTTCGTAAAACTGGTGCAGCATCGTGATCTTCGCCCAAATGACTCGCTTCACGAATAGGACCCCCAATTCCCAGTGCTCTGGAGCCGCCCCTGGTAAAGTTATGAACTTGAACTTTTCAGGGAATGTGCCCAATTTAGTTTTAGGAAAAGTCAGAAAATTTCAGCATCGTAGCTTCAGCGGTTTCGGAGATATTCCCGAAAAACCTGAGGGGTGGATAAAAACAACCCCCCCCCCCCCTGCCACTAATAGGGTTAAGGTATACATTTTAACAATATTGTTTTGCTGGTATTCAGATAGCAGTGGATCACAATCAACATATTCGACAGTCAGACAGAGTCAACAATTTACAGGATACGGCGCAGTCCAGTACACAGGGCTCTACTCAACAGACCACAGCCAGGCAGTAAGAAGGCCACAAGAGAATGCAGCACACAACAACGAGAGTCTTCAGAATAGAGCGAATGAAAGTTCACATTCTATGGAAGCGCCGTCCGCAGTCTTCTTCAGCTCGGGCACAGTCGGACACAGTCTGTCTTCCACAGTCAGTTCACAGTCTGGGACAGTCGACCTACAGTGGGATACAGTCCGGTCCTCAATGTGATACAGTCGGCTGGACGGCCCGCAGCGGGCGGTGCCCGACCTCCCGCCGGCTGCGCGGTCGGTGACCACCTCTCGGCACATTTCCCGCCCTCTGATCCGTCTCCGGGCCATCAGCTCGGGCGTCTGCTGCCGTGTCGGGCCGGGCCGCCGCCCGATCACCGTCACTGCCGGCGGCCGGCCCCGAGTGACTGCCGCCTCCCTCCCCCGCCGTGTCGTGAGCGATGTCCCCGCCGGGGGACCACCCAGTGCTGCTGTCGGCCGGCCGCAGATCGGTCGCCGCTCAGCCGCCGCGCCGCGCCGGACCGCCACAGGTTGGCGCCGCGGGCCGGCGCGGTGCTGCGCGCGCGGCCGCCGCTCCTCGCCATGAGACGCCGCCGCGGCCGTGGCCATCGATTTCCGTCCGGGCGGCGGTCAGCTGGTGGCGGCGGCGGCCGTCGGGCGGCGCTGGCGGCGAGCACAGCTGGCCAGCTGCCGAGATGGCGAGCGTCGAGCAGCTGCTGCTGGCCGCCCTCTGGACGCCGCTGGCCGCTGCGCTCAGCACCAGGCCGGACTCCACTCCGAGCCAGCCGTCCTCACCGCCGCCGGCCTCCAACAGCTCCGAGGAGGCGGGTGCGCCGCGGGTGGAGGCGGCCAGAGAGACCCATATGGCGGCGGCGGCGGCGGCCGGCAAGTCAGCCTCTCATCCGCTGCTCACGCTGACACTGGTGCTGGCGCTGTGTTTTGTCAGTGCTGCTGCCGCCTTCGGACTGCGACGCGTGCTCCGGCGAGCCTTCTTCAAAGACAGGTGGGTGCTAGCCAGGCTGTTAGCGACTGCATTTCTGCCACCTGTCACGTGCTCACCTAACTTAGCTTTCCTATTGAAAAGCAAATTTTGAAGTCACTAACTTGTGGACGCCTTTCAGACTCATTAGTAGTCCCAAAAGCCCCATAGATAGTGGGATTCAGCAAAACTTTTCTTTATTAAGTAGGGATTGGTCCACATTTAAATCATTCCGAACCTAAAATTGTGTTTTAGGAAAACTTCAGACTTCACTCAGGTTACTAGTTTGGCTGAAAAGCGGGAAGACCATAACCTAACCTCTGCCCTGCTCCTTCTCCTATGTCATCATGCTGATGAAGTTCCTTTATTTTGAACGCATACACTGCGTAGGTACTTGCATCATAACCGAAGGTTTGTTGTCAATAGTTAAAACACTATTCTTTAGAATTGTGTTTTTCTATTGAAAAACAAATCTGAGTTCCCTGACAATTTGGCAAAAGCTGCCTGAGATCAGTAAATTCAGTATGCATACCTACGCGCGTACTGCGTAATACTCACCTAGCGTCTGCCATCCATACTTTCAGTTACAGCTATTGGCAACAGATGGCAGCACACATACGCGCCTGGAAGGTAGTCTGTGCCGCATTATGCCCGGGTATTGCGGCACGGTATAGGCGCTGTGAGAACCCACATTGCACAATGCACATAGCCCCCGCCGTAAATTTACCGGATCGGATATATTACATTTTTCAGAAGTCATGTCTGATTTCATGAGTAGAAGGAGAGCTGACCTATGCATATTATGTATGGTCATTTGCATTTGGTACCTAGTCCCACGTAATTGCAAAATGCTTTCAATATTAGGAAGAACTTTGGTATGAATGAAATGAATGAAACTCGAATGAAAGAACTTTGGTACGGTACAGAGAGAAAAGTGTTCTTACCCACTAACTCCCAATGATGTGTTTCAGGACGGGAAGTTATCGTTATTTCAAAGTGAACCAAGAAGACGACGGAGAGTTGATGGCAGTTGACGGCGGGTACCACGTGGCTCTGGATGATTCCAGCGAAGACGAGGTAGGACAAGAATGGGGTAAGATTGATGGAGGATAGAATGGCAATAGAGTAGAGTGGGGTAAGACTGAAATTGGGTGGAACTATTGCTGAGGGAAGAAATGGTGAGGCTAAGAGGGTCGAGGGATCAAGTGCTAGTGAGGGAAGATTGAGATTGAGTGGGACTGGGAAAGATGGAGTTGAAGTTCGGCATATACGACACACATGAGCAGTGAGCACCCTCGTGAAATGTGCCTTTATTCATTTAATGGACATAGATTAACTCCGGATACACTCTCTGCTTGGAAGGGTGTAAAACAAAGTTAATCTTCTCGGCCTCAAGGATAAAGTAGGTAGTTCTTTTGACCGTGGCCTGGGAACTGTATGTGCGACCTTCCTTGAGCAGGTGTACCTACCAGGGTTGTGCTTGACTCATGAGTCGAGTCAGAGATTTGACTCAACTCTGACTCAGATGAGTCAGGTTTGAGTCGAGTCGGATAAAATGTTGAGCTGTTGAGTTGAGTCAGAGTTGAGTCAGACAAAAATATTAAGGTGTTGAGTTGAGTCATAGTTGAGTCAGTAAAATAACTTTTGACATTGAGTTGAGTCAAAAACATTTAGGAACATGAGTCAGCTGACTCATCTTTCTAGAAACAATGTATAAGCTTTTCATTCTCCCCCACCCCCGCTTAACAACTTAGGCCTGGCCCTGCTGCCGGATTTTTTTTCACCCCCCCCCCCCCCCCCCCCCCCGCTCATCAACTTTTTTATCTGAGTCAAATTTGAGTCAACAAACTTGGCTCAACAAAAAATTGAGTCAAGTTTGAGTCAACCAATATTTTCATTGAGCCGCTTGAGTCATGAGTCGAGTCAAGGAAAAAATCAGCTCCTTGTTTGAGTCAGAGTTGAGTCGGGGCTTTCTGAAGTTGAATGATGAGTCGAGTCGGCAAATTTTTTTGAGTCGAGCACAACCCTGGACTACCTACCACTTAACCTATATGGAAACATGTGAGCGCCTATTAAATTAATTATCATCACATTTTGCTCATACAGGATATTTCACACTATGTTACAGCTGGGTCCAGCGCGGCTTCCGGTCAACACACCGGAAACGGCGCAGGTGCGGCGAAGTTGTCTGTCTCCGCCGCCAGAGGCCAAGTCTCTGCTGATAGAGTCCTCTGATGAGGTAGGTGGCTGGTCTCTGCTGAGCGCTTCTATACATCCTAGTTCTTCAATGCGAATTGCACAGCTCTTCATACCTAAATATCAATCTTGAGAGCTATACAAAAATGATCAATGACATGGTGGAAATGTGAAAAACTTTTATTGCAATATAGGCCGAATATTAATTATTAGAACATTATTGCGCTCGCAATACGGCTCCTCACGGCGCCAATACCGTGCCGCACTACCCAACCGTAATGCGGTACAGACTACCCTTCAGGCGCGTAAGCGTGCTGCCATCTGTTGCCAATAACTCTAACTACGCAAAAGTATGGATGAGTACCAAGCGAAATAAAAATTTATCTCCCTTTCCGTCCGTCGGTCCCCCTCCCCACCCCCCCCCCCCCCCCCCATCTCTCTCACTCGCTCGCTCTCTCTCGCTCTCTCTCGCTCTCTCTCGCTCTCTCTCGCTCTCTCTCGCTCTCTCTCGCTCTCTCTCGCTCTCTCGCTCTCTCTCGCTCTCTCTCGCTCTCTCGCTCTCTCTCGCTCTCTCTCGCTCTCTCTCGCTCTCTCTCGCTCTCTCTCGCTCTCTCTCGCTCTCTCTCGCTCTCTCTCGCTCTCTCTCGCTCTCTCTCGCTCTCTCTCGCTCTCTCTCGCTCTCTCTCGCTCTCTCTCGCTCTCTCTCGCTCTCTCTCGCTCTCTCTCTCTCTCTCTCTCTCTCTCTCTCTCTCTCTCTCTCTCTCTCTCTCTCTCTCTCTCTCTCTCTCTCTCTCTCTCTCTCTCTCTCTCTCTCTCTCTCTCTCTCTCTCTCTCTCTCTCTCTCTCTCTCTCTCTCTCTCTCTCTCTCTCTCTCTCTCTCTCTCTCTCTCTCTCTCTCTCTCTCTCTCTCTCTCTCTCTCTCTCTCTCTCTCTCTCTCTCTCTCTCTCTTTATTCGTCTTTTTGTTAATTGGCCTGCCTGCACATGTTTATTGAGCTCCGACATCTTCTCTCTGTTTCAGGAGCTCCTTCAGTGAACAATTGAGGATTGGGTTCTTTGGCGTACCTGCTCTTCTTGCACATGTCAAAAACCAATATTTTCGTGCGCTATAGTAATACGAAATCATTGATAGTTTAAATGCACAAGTGTATATATCAGCACAATTATGCCTACAGTTCGTTTGGAAAGCTGTTCAAGAGACAGGGTCTCAACATAATTACAGACGTTCTTTGTCCTTAACACCCTTGGTTTTCACCTACAGTCGGTACATTGTTCTGTGGATGGGCTACTTAAGGGCCCAAAATGTAGGTATGCATAAAAAATACATACCTCCGTTTCATCAAGCACAAGACAAATCTGCAAAAATGATACGTTTCCTGTCTCTAAGACACTGGTCTATACGTACGATTTACTTTATATTTTAGATCGTAGACGCTGGTACCTGCAACTTGTAAGTTTGGTACGCAAGGTAAAAATTTGCTGAAATGCGGGAACCGTAATGGAATATAATATGGGAATGTTAGGAACATAATTCATGCGATCATGATCTAAATATACTACATAAGAAACACCATGGAGTCATGACTAAGATGGTGAAGTCAATGACTTTTTACCTGTGGTAGTGTAGCAGGTTTACTTCATCGTGTTTTTTTCCGATTTACGGGAAACTCCACTGGAATACTGAAAGATATCGTTTGTACATATAACCATAGAAGTTAGAACGTTTCGTACGGGTAGTCGCTTAGCCGGTGCACAATGTACATACATATATCGCTGAATGATGAGGCCATGAGAGCAATTCTGTCTGTGGTGCACCCGTTTATTTTATATGTTTTGATGTGACTCATGTAGCGTCTGCTGGCTGCCGAGCTCATATTGCGCTGAGCTGTTCAAAAGTCCTAAAATGAGCAGCTGATGTATCGCCTGGTGTCTAGCCGAGGGTGACGTGCGACTGACTGATTGGACGGACGCTATTCTGAGCCTGAGCGGTGTGGCGGCGGCTGATGTGTGATGTGTAGACTGTTGTTTGCGCGCAGATGACGTGCTGTTGATTGATGTCAGCGTGACATGTCGCCTGATGTCCGCCAGCGGATGAGGAGTCGTTGACTGATGTGAACTATTTGATGGGTCTGGCCGGGCCAATGAACGACAGCAGTGGTGGCTCACGTGTTGTCCCGATCGTGACCAGTCCTAACATACCAGATCACCACGCCGTGCCGGTAGCTGACGAGTGTGTGTGAGCGCCTATAAAAGAATATATTTGTGGGTTTGAGCGTGAGTATGTGTGTGCCACCTTTTAACTCGCTGCGGCCAAGGGTGATGTCAAAATAATGCTGCTGTTCAATACAAAAGAAAGACGCAAATCTGTTTAAGATGATGTCCAAAATAACTAATATAGTCCGCATTTAGCCAGCTTCACGACCTAAGTTTCAACTTGCGCAAGATAAAACCATCTGCACCTTTTGCTAGTCCGTAGGCGAAGCGAAACCATTTAGCGACATTCTCATCAGTTTGACCTACAGAGCTGTCAACAAAAGTCACGTGATTGACCTTTGCACATTAGATTGTCGCTCATCTAACAGCGTAGGCACAACGCTAAAAACGGTACCAAACGACTCGTATCGCCATCATATGCCCTCATTAGACAAGTTACAAGCCTCAGACCACAAATTGAAACACATTTTTGCGATTGGTCGGAACACGCTACCCATAAAAAGCTGAAAGTTGGCATACATTAACTTGATCTTTCCCATATAAAATGCATGTCCCTCGACGCGTTTGCTCATGACAAATACGATGGCGCCAAAATCGCGGCCCTGCAATCATTTTTCACGAAGTAATTTAACAATACAAACAAATCTTAGGACCTTTGACCTGACCTCCGAGTTCACCGGTTGACGTTAGTGAGTAAGGGTATAAGTATAAGGGAAGGTCGTATGGAACTCCCCCCCCCCCCCGTTCGGTTTTCAGGAAAAAAAACTCGCGTAAAAAGCGGCCGATTGCGACGAAACTTTCAGTTCCCTCGCGTTAATCAATTTTACAACTAAACTGGAAATTTCACGACCCTGACACAAATGACCTTTGACCTGTGCCCTCTTTTTCGAGACCATGTTTGGCCGGAATCGCGATTCGGCGTATACGTATGTCGGCTCACATTAGCCGCGCGTTTGCAGTCTTTTTGAGGTTTCAAGCGTTCAAACATGTGATATGATGTTGGTCCCATGCATTACGGTGGGTGTCAAGGTCACCTGAAGGTCAGGTCAGATCACTGACCTTTGATGACCTCGGTTCAGTCGAGTTTTGCATGTTTCTTGGCTAGTTTTTGGAGCTGATTTCGAATTAAGCATCCATTTGAAAATTTACGAAGAAGTTTTGGTGCCTTCGTAACATCATACGAAGCAGTCAGTGGCAGCTGACATCTACTATGAATACTCGTCAGGAAGCCTACTGGTTGACCTGACCTGACCCGACCCGACTTGGCTTAATTGCATGAAGACATCATCTGTGATCAAAGCTAACATGAAAATAGAGATCGCACCCCGAAAACCCCCATAGCAAACGCAAATTACATGTTCTAACAGGTCCCGATTTTCCCGACTTTTGGGTCATTGACCTGACCTGAAAGGTCAACCGATGACCTTTGATGACAGGCGAGGGTTAAAATCGGTTGAAATGCGTTTTCTGTGACCTAGTTAGTAGCTATATCTGACAGTTCCTGAGACAGATGCCAGGCCCAGGTCTTCACAAGTTAGGAAACGACCATGACAAGACTTAAGGACTGATCAGGAACGTCTCGTAGCGAGCTATCGTTTGCCAACGGGGTCGTTTACCCTCCCCCCCCCCCCCCCCCCCCAGGGAGTGATGAAATTCCCCATCCATTACAGTATTGACTACTCGTATGTGACAATTTTTCTACACTATCTGCCTGGTCGAGTGTTCGTCGCATCGCGGTGTAACCAAATGTGACACTATACGCACATTTGTGTGAGTCATGAAATCATACACTTAACAGAAAACTTACTATAATAGCATTTATTGATATAAAAATTATCTTGAATACGTACATTCCATTAGCTTCATAAAATGTACCAATAGTCATTAGTTCTCGTAGGCATACAAAAACTTTACCGAAAAATTCGGCGAATCTCGAAATACAGCAGCAGCTTTCAGCGACGCTGGTAAAGACCCGTGTCATCAATAAGCCCAGCGGCGTCCCGGCTCGACGTACTGAGGTACCACGTGCATACCGTGCCCACATTGAGGTACATCGCACGTACCGGCTCGACGCACTCAGATCCCTCGGGTCCGGCACAATGAGGTCCCCACACGTATCGTCCCCACGAACTGAGGGCCCCGCACGTACCGGCATGGCGTACTGAAGTACCGCGCACGGTGACGCTCCTCTGTCGGCTACACCACGGAGAGAATCTCGTTGTACAGATCGGTGCCGAAAATGTCTCCCCGGCAGCTGAGAACATCTGAACAGTCTTCGGTCGTCGCCGTTGGACAGTCATCGCCGTCGTCGCCGCTACCGACCGGCTCTGGTTCACCCCGATCGTGTTCAGTCTTCATGTGCATTGAGAGGTCGTCGCGGAGCAGGAACAATCTGTTGCACTCTGGACACGCCAGTGGCTCTTGTCCGTCGGCGGGACGGTCCTGTCCGCGGTCGGCAGGCGGGGCCGCCGGTACCGGCACCGGGCGAGCTGCCGTGGCCGGCTCCGGTGGCGGCTGATCACAGTCGTGGTTGTGCACCAGTTCTGGGGTTGGCACGGAAGCGCCGCAGCGCGCGCAGAGAAGAGCGTGTGCGCTGGCGCGGTGCCGCTCCAGCTTGGCTGCAGTGTCGAACTGACGGCCGCACCGCAGGCAGCAGAAGCGCGCCGGCTCGTGACCCAGCCGGTGGCGGTACAGAGCCGCGGCGCTCTCCAGTACCTGGCCACACACGTCGCAGCCGCGGTAGCCAGTCCGGTGCAGGCGCAGGTGCAGTGGCAGCAGCACGCGAGCGATGAACTTGCGACAGACGCGGCAGCGCGCAGCGTCGGCGCGCGGCCACCGCTGGGGCGGCAGCTCGGGCGGCGCCGGCGGCGGGCTCTTAGCGGGTGGCTCGCGCTCGGCCGGCGGCGTCTCGGGGACCAGCGGCGGCGGCTCCTCGCAGCCCGAGTATGTGTCGGCCAGGTCCAGCACGCCCTCCACCTCCACCAGCTCGCTGAAGTCGAGCAGTCGGCGGCGGCCGCGCTGCCGACGCCGCTCCGCCGCCACGGCCGCCGCCGCCTCGTCACCGGACGAGTCTCCAGCGGCGGCGCGCTCCTCCAGCAGTCCGCGGCGCAGCGCGCCTCCGCCCGGCCTCCTCAGCGCCTTGGCCCGCAGGCCGGCCGGCAGGGCGGAGGGACGGCGTGCCGCCGCCAGCAGACTCCCCGGCCCGGCGCGGGGCGGCAGCGGGGACGACTCCGGCTTCTCTGGCGCTTCCTCGGGTATTGGCTTCCTCTTGCGCAGTCGCTGACGAATCGTACGGCTGAGTCGCAACGCTGGTGGTGGCGGGTTGTCGATGTGTCGAAGACTAAACATAGATAGAAAACTGCCTTTGAAGCGTTCCTTCTCTGAGTCCGGCATCAGGGAGACATAGGTCGGAGGCTCACTGACACGGGGCTGTTCGGGCGGCTCTTCCGGAACGGTCGGGCCGACCGAGCTTGGCACCTGGGTAGCGGAGACAGCGATAGGCTCGCTATCGCTCTGACTGCTGCGCTGAGTGGCTGTCCTGGCGGGAACGGCAGCAGCGGCGGCTGCACTGTTGGCTAGCTCCCGCAGCCTCAGCAGTGCCGCGTCTGCTGGGCTGACGTCTCCACTCTCGCGCTCCTCGGCTGCCACAGCGGCCAGGTGTCGCAGCCAGCGGGCGCGCGCTACCGCCCAGCACTCGGAAGGGAAGCCCGGGAACTCTGTCGGCTCGACCGTCACGCCACCGGGCTCAGCGTCAGTGGGTGCGGCCGCCGGGGCTGGCACGGAGGACGGCCCCTCTCCACCGGTGAGCAGGCGACTCAGCTGGACAGAGACGGAGGTAAGTGCCCGAGGCGGGGTGCCGGAAGCAGCGGCGCTGACCGTACCGGAAGCAGCGGCGCTGACCGTAGCCACACGATGAGTACTTTCCTTGCAGTTCGGAGATTTTCGCGGCGACCTAGCTGCCCGCGATTGACACGCAGAGCCGCGATCACAGTCGGCTTTGGGCCCGCGGTTATAACCGCTTTTCGTGGCCAGTTTGTGTTTCTTTGGTGTCTGAGGTGTCCGCGGGCGGCCGTTCCACGCGGTCCGGCAGCGTTCCCCGCTTCGGATCGGACTGGTCATAGGACCCGTCACTATGGCACAATCAACATCCTCCCCTGACGGCAGACCAGTCGACCTGCTGCTGGTCTCCGATCCGTCCAGGTCGCTGACGTCATTCTCCACCACCCAGATGAGCCCGCCGCCCTCGGAGATGGTGCCAAAGTCGTCATCCTCCACCACCTCGATAAGCTCTGAGACGGCGCCGGGCAGCGCGGTCAGCCGGTCGGCGGGCCCCTCGTCGTCGGACGCCTGTGAGGAGTAGTCGGTCTCCGTGTAGATGTCTATCAGGGGGGAGCCGACGCCAGCGTCCGAGCGGCGCGCCCACAGCTCCGAGAGCACGCAGTCCGGGATGTCCGCCCGCTCCGCGGCGCGGGACGCCGACGGCGCAGAGGACAGCGGCGGCTCGACGACCGACCGGAGCATCGTCACACCGCGGTGAGTCTGACAGCGGACGGTGGACAGGAGCTTCAGCTGTGCCAGATGCAGGGGCGGAAATGGCGTCCAATCACCACTCGCTGACTAGGCACGGTAGCGAACTCACCTGTAAAACAAAGACCCAATGTCAGAGATCGGAGCCGGCAAATAACGGGATGAGACAGGCAATGCCTAAATAGCTCCATGAAACATAGTCCAGCAAATCTTGTGTATAGATCAGTCAGGAGATCATATTTACACCCCCCCCCCCCCCCCAAATAAACATGCTTATCATGCTTTGTGCTTCAGAAAGCCACATAATACAACTGCATCAGCAGATTTAATTACACAGAAAAGAAAATTAATATGGGCAACGTCCCATTTCTTTTCACTATCCACCATATGCTCTGTGGGAAAGCACCTACAGAGAGCATAAAGGACATTTGCTATTTCTTGCCCCTCTGCCCAGTGTCTCCACTACACAGAAGATGTAGAGTAGTTGGGAAAGTGGGGAAAGTGCTCAGAAATGCCACAATCGGCTTCAACTGTAATTTGTAAACAACAGGTCCAATCCAATCATTGTAGGTACCTAAAACGATGGATATCTATAAAGCCTACGACCATTGAAAAATTTCGC